AGATTTCACTGTGATTGGAATGGTGAGATTGAAATCAGAACTGTTGAACTATCAAAACCACTTAAGCAGAGCCCTCAGGGCATGACACACATTGAAGACCCTGGGATGGTTGAGAGGGTAGGTGTGGCTTCTCCCTTAATCTCCCTCTTCCCCCCAGACACAGGAAGGAAAAAGTAGAATGTGGAAATAATAGTCTTACCCACTTTCCTGTAGCACTTGGCCCTTTAAGCCCTAATCATCTGTGTAAAAATCATAAAAAGAAAAAAAAAAACCAGAATGGTGTGACTCAGGTTGAGAAATCTCAAGAAGCAGAGCTGAGAGGAAAGACCATAATGTTTACTATAGCTACCAGAGATGGCAAACTTACACCTACTTCTAAATGAGAATATGAAGATAATGATTAGCAAAGGGGCTTCTAATTATATAAGGCTCCTTAAATATTCATCCACAGTAATACACAGTAAGTGCAAATCCAGAAGAATCTAGAATAAACTTAAAAGACTCCGCATTACTCAATACCGCAGCTGAAGCAACTGCATCTGAAAATCAAGTGCAATAGTATAAACACCCACCACCCACTATCTTTAAAAAAAAACCCACTTCCACACAATAGCAGGGATTCAGCAGCCCATTGTGTCCGCTGCTGTGTGTGCCACCTTTAACCTAGCGTATGGCACACAGTAAGTACTAGCCTACTGAGGAAACAAACCCACCACTAGGCAGAATAAAAACCCCTTTGAGAACAAACATGCAAATAATGAACAACTGAGCCAGGGAAATCTTTACACCAAGAAACACACAAATGTGCTAATCAGGACATTTTTCAGGAGGAAAAAAAGGGGGAGAAATTAGTTATTTAGCATACCATAACAGCCTCGGATGTTACATCCTATTCTCTAGGAATCACCTTTACTTCAAAACTGTTTCCTAGACATCTCTGGGTGATTTAAAACATATTAAAAAGTAACAAATTTGATCATGACACTATACTTAAAAGTTCAACCAGATTATAAATATTTTATTCACCAAAACGAAAATGGCAATAACTGATTTTCCCTCTAACTTCTGTTTTCCAGATTTTGACATGTATTTTTTTTAATAATACTAATAGCTGAAAATACTAAGAATATGCATTCACAGGAGAGGGGAGGAAGCAGTGTCAAACACATGCATGATCGCTTTAAGGCTACAGGAAGTTACAGAATGCTACTATAGCCACTATAGCCAGCGCGCAGCCTTGAGGGGGACTCAAGTGAAAGCTGAGCTTTCCAACGGATGAGATGGAATTTACCAGGCCAAGATATGCAGATCAGGGCAGTGTTTTAGAAGGAAGGAACAGGAATGTAAGTAGCATTCCAAGCCCATCCAGAGAACTGAAAAGTTGGGATTAATGGCTGGGCAAAGCATTAAAGGTGGAGATTAAAGTGTCTCCAATGAAAGTGGCCTTGAAGGGAGACAGGTTCTTTAAAGAGATTATTCAGACAGGATAAGGACAATCAAGAGTGGATTTAGAAGATCAACAACTCCTCCAATACACCAGGGATCCCACAGGGCAGGGACAGGGGACTGTAGAGATTCTTCGAGGATGGGGAGAAACACAAAGACAATGAGCCAATAAAGTTATATTTCAGGCATCGCAACACCTTCTACACTGGTAGGGATAAAAACATTAAAAGGTATAATATCACCTTAACAATGGCACATCTCAAGAAATTTGTATCAGAAATGGGAATGGGAGGAAAGCAATAAATACTAATTTTCTTTAAGATTGAGACATCTATATTAGTCATTGAGCTTAATGATACTGTCAAACCCAGCATAGGTACAGAACAAACAAATGACAAGGCATGACCAGAGGCTGTAAAAACAGAGTACACAAACAAAAGTGCTGATGAGCTTAATGCTATATAGAAATAAAAACACAGCAGCAGCCACGGGACAAAACCCCACAGACAGTTCTGGTTTCCAGAGAAGTGCTTTTGGTAGCAGAGTAGGGGAAGGCCAGCAGACTCCTCCAAGGCCTGGAGAGACTTTTCCCAAGAATAATTATCACATTCAAAGAAGACGGCTGGAGGCAGCAGTTGTGACCCAGCAGTTTGGGGCACATTCCCATGATGCTGGCATCTCACGTCCTGGCTGCTGCACTGCCACTCCAACTTCCTGTTCCCGGTTGGTGCATCTGGCCCAAACACTGGAGTCCCTACCAACTTCACAGGAGCCAGGAGTCTGGCTCTGCACCTGCCCAGTCCAGTCGCTGTGGACCTTAGGGGGATGAACCAGTATATAGAAAGTCTCAATCCCTTCTCTGTACCACTTTGCCCTTAAAATAAAATCAATCTTAAGAAAGAAGAGAAAAAAAAAAAGCCAACATACTGGCATGAGTCAGGCCACCATATGCGGCACTGACATCCCAAATGGGCTCTGGTTTGGGTCCAGTTTGGGTCCAGCTGTTCCTCTTCTGACTGAGCTAGCTCCCTGCTAACATGCTGGGAAAACAGTTCTTGGGCCCCTGCTGCTGGCCCAGCCACGGCTGTTGTATTCATTTGGGAATGAACCAGCTGATGGAAGATTTCTGTCTTTCCCTCTCTCTGCAACTCTGCCTTTCAAATAAGATTTCTTTTTTATACAACAACAAAAAGAGGCTTTTAATTCAGTAATTGCATGACTATCCCATTACCTAATAAGTGTCCACACACAAACTAGTTCCCCAGCACTCACAGCAGCATTATCTGAAACAGCTCAGAAACCACAGCACTCAGCCCATCGACAGGAATGAACAAAAAAAAAAAAAAAGCAATACATCCATACAACAGAAACATTCAGTGCTCACACAGGGGCAGCATGGGTTACACTGAGTCAAAGAAGCTTGTCACAAGACTACATGGTCTATCATTCACGTCTATGAAATGTCCAGCGTAGGCACATCTATTGAGACAGTAAATTACTGGTTGCCTCCCGCAGGAAGGTGGGGGGAGGGGAACTGGAGCGAAATGGGTAGGGACAGCACACAAGAACAGGGTTGCATTTAGGTGTGGCAAAAAAAAAAAAACCTCTAAATTGGATTGTAGTGTTGGTCCACCACCCTATGTATATACTAACTGTATCTCAATACAGGTTTTCTTTTTAAAAACAAATAAGAACAAATGTGGAGCACCTCAGGCTGTTACCAGACTCGGGCAGAGTTACCGGAACTACAACCAAGGTGGTGGAGAGGGAGCCTGTCCTACAGTCTCGGTCATTTTGTTAAAGAAAAGCTAGTCAATAGGCAATTACGAAACAATGGGGACAAGAAAGGCAAGAAGTCTCCAAGTCCCAGGTGCACTCAACCTAGCCCTGAGCAATTCTGTGAAAGCACTGAGAAAAAAGTCAGGTTCTAAATCCACAAAGTGACACTGAAATCGAAGGACTTCTCTTTAAATATCTGCTCAGTTTCAGAAAAATAAACATTCTTATGCAATGATTTTACAGCTTTTTAAAGAAGCATGTGTGCAAGTTTAAAAACACACTGCAGAAAGTCTGTTAAAAATCAAACAAGTCTTAAATTTCATTGTATTACCAAGTTTGCCAGGTGTTATCAAGTTTATGTGCAAACTTTCCATAGCACTAAAATTGAAAGCCCTCCCCCCCCGCAAATAATACACCCGAACAACTGCGTAATACATTTCAAAATAAAGCACAGGAGGTCGCAAAGAGACCAGCAGGGTAGGAAAACCTGAATGGCAATCGCAAAGTAGAACCGATGGCTACGTAAGGAAACCTTTAAAAATCAAACTCACTAACTTTCAGCCGCAGCAAATCGAAATTAGAATATCAGCAACCGCTGCTCGCAGAAACAGAGAAGCCAAGTTTCCCAGTATTAGGGGGAAAAAACTAAAATTGAATTTTTTAAAAAACGAATTGCCAAATGGGCTCGCAGCCTGGTGCGAACCTAAGCAGATCGAGGCCAAAAGAAACCTGCACTTGGCTGAGCGAAACCGACTGCAATTCTAAGATGCAATTCTGCGCACTGCTTAAATCACCAAGCAAGAGGGAGATGTATCGAAACGGGGAGCGGAGATAAAGGAGAGGAGAGGAGAGAGGAGGAGAGAAAGAAAGAAAAGTTTGGCCCTCTCCCCGGAAGAAGGAGCCTAAGAAAGCCCCTCCCGGGGCTCGCCCACCACCGAAAGCAACAGCGCAGGATTTTCACGGCGCAGCCCAGGGGCACACAGGCTGCTCCCAGTCCCCGAGCAAAGCGTCCTAGGCGAGCCCTGCAGGCTTAGCACCTCAAGCACCAGTTCGCAGAGCCCGGGTCAGCCTGGCTTCCTCCTGCAACATCCCCACCCACATGCCACATCCTGTGCCTGGCAGTCAGCGAGCCCCACTTCAACTCGCATTAATTAAGCACCCACTGTTTACACCATATTGTGGCTCCTGTAAGCACTGCAAGGAAGAAATGGCCCCGGTGGCTGGCGGAAAAAGAAATCGAGACAGCTACGACGTATGAAAAGGAACCCGCAAAGACGGGCTGCGGACCATGCCTGAGATCGGGTGGTATGGAGAGAAGCCCACCACTCGCACCCCCCGCGGGGCGTGCCAGTCTCCGGGCAAGGAGAACCCCGAGGGGCGCAGCAGGCCAGGCCTTCCCGGACTCCGCCGCAGACCTGGCCCGGAGCGGAAAGGAGTCAGGATTCCGGGACCCCCCGCGTGCGCCTCAGCTGCTACGAGTGCGACCCCCTGGGTCCGGCTCCGGCTCCCCGAGGACCGGCGAGCGCGGGCACCGCACCCCCCGGGAGGCCCGGAGCCGGCTGTCACACCGGGGCCCGCGGCTCCCAACCCCCGCAGCCGCAACATGACAGTCGGCGGCGACCCCGGACGGAGCCGAGCGTCTCCTCGGCGGCGTCCCCGCTCCTCCCGACGCCCGCGCCCCGCAGCTGCCCCGCGCGGCACGGAGCGGTGCCGGGAAGACCGCCCGGGCCCCTCCCCCTCCCCGCCGCCCCCGGCGTCCCCCGAAAAGCGGTTACCTGGAACGCGGACGGAGGCGAGCACACGACCCCGAGGAGGGGCTTGTGAGGACGGACGGCGGCCTCGGGCCCGGGGAGGTTCGGGAAATTTGCTAGACTTGTTCCGCGCTGGGTGACAGCTGTTGGCCGCGCACGCGCACAGGGCCCCGGGCGCCGCTCCGCACCCTCCCGTCCAGGGGGTGGGTGGGAGGTCGGGGCGCGCGCACGGCGCAGGCCGGCTCGCGGGGCGCGAGAGCGCGCGCGTCGTCACGTGACCGCGGGGGCCCCCAGCACAGAGGGAGTCACGTGAGCTCCACGCGACTTAAAGGTGCCGGGCACTGCTCTGGCTTTGGGTTCTACGCCACGCAGCGATCCAGTTAGCTCTGTAAAGCGTGCGTCATTGTGGAAACGGACGTCTCCTTCTTTCCAACATAAGAAGATAAACGGAAGCCGAAGGGAGGACAGGTGCCCGGGACCTCGTCCGGAAGCGCCTGCTGGGTTCCCACAGGGCTGGACCCGAAGCAGTCCACGCGCCACACGTCGTCCTGGGCTTCCCCCACCCTCCGGCCTATTGGCGGCCTCCGGCTGGCGGACGTCAGAGCGGCGTTGCCATGGGTGGGGCCTGGCACTGCCCAGCCGAGCCTGAGGAGGAAGCCGGGGCTCCCTGCTGGCCAGTGCTCCCCGCACCCCTCGGCTGGAGCCTCTGCCTCATTCCCTGGGTGGGCGCAGTGTCCACGGGTCCCCGCCCCTCCGGCCAAAGGCTGTGTTGTTAGTCTCCGGAAGCGAAACTCCTATGCATGACAAGTCCAGCCCCTCGCAGGTGCACGCATAACATTGGGGAAACCCCAGGATGGCCAGAATTGGAGTAACTGGAAGTGCAGGTGTCTCCGGGCTCCCAAAAACTTCCTGCTTCTGCCCTGAAATTCTGCCTCCTTTGACGATTGTGTGATAGAAGAAACCGCACAAACCTTAAGTCCGTGTACTGTCACACACAGATGGCTGAGCACCAGATGTTTTGCAAAACTTAATTTTTTTTTCAACTTTCTTCAGTGCCCAAGCTGTGGCATTTCTTCTAAGGTCTTTTTCATCTAAGAAAGACTAGCAGATCTTAACACCATAAAGCTAGCCTGGTCTGTAAAATATGATGAGTTTTTGGCCACAATATAATGGTTTCGACTTTAAAAAAAATCAGCAGTGTTGAATTCTCCAACTCTTTTCTCTATGCAGGGAGTATTGCAAACACAGATTGAGTGACCACCACTACACTGTAGCAAGTAAAGCTTGCAACCCCAGCAGCCCAGCAGCCCAGCAGCCCATATGGACAAACCCTGGAGTCCTGGCTGCTCCACTTTTTTTTTTTTTTCACTTTTCTCTTTATTTTTTACAATCTTTACATAGTTAGTTAGGGCAAAAAGGCTCAAGGGCTACAGGAAAGTGGGTAAGACTATTGTTTCCACATTGTTTTTTTCCTGTGTCTGGGGTAAAGGGAGAGATAAAGGGAGAAGCCTCATCCAGTCTGCTGGCTGCTCCACTTTGATCCAGCTCCCTACTAAGGATCTCAGAAAATGGCCTGGCATGGCCCTGGTCTTTGCAGTCATTTGGGGAGTGAACCAAAGATGAAAAATACCTCTTTTTTGCTTGTCTCTTCTCTCCCCCCCAACCCACCCTCTCCACATAATTCTTGCAAATAAATAATACATCTTGGGGGGGGTGCTGCAATATGCATAATTAAAGGTAAAAGGGTAACTGGGCCATCATTTGTTAAATGTTTAGTCATTTTTACTTTTAATATTGATGACATAGTTGAGAGGGATGCTTCTGATCAGGTGGAGGAAGGTGGGTGAGACCAATGTTTCAGTTTTGCTTTTCTCCAATGTCCCTGGGAGCAGGAAGAGGACTCACTCTTTGCTGTCAAAGCACATGATGCCCGGGGATAGAGATGGTCATTTGATTTCACCTGGACACTCCAGTGTGAGGAAGAACATTCCAGGGGTGCTACTTGGGTGGTCTTGATAGCTCTGAGACATTGTTGGATTCATTGCACCTGGGTTGAGAAAATCCTTCTAAGATCTGTTGGCTGACCAGTCAACTTCAATGTATTCACAGACCCCGGCATTTGCTGCAAAGCTGGGCCAGGAGAGTTCAGCCTGTTCTGCTGTCTTTTGGTGAGATGAGCTGGCTGTCATGGCCCCCGTATGCATCTGGACATGCTCTCTGTTACCCTGGCGTGATAACTGTACTCCAGGGTTGGACAACACATCTTGTGATGTCCCCTGAGGCCGAGATTTTGAGTCTAGGTTCAGTTAGGGAGTCCCCCAAGAAACTTTGCCTGGGGTGACCTCAGGTTTGACTCTTGTACATGCTAACTAGTGCAGAATCTGCTGCATGAGCCAGTACACCTGGGGGGAATGCAGGTGCCTGGTCAGTTCTATCCCCAGCTCCATCACTCATGATAACTGACAGGTGCTCCAGCACAGCCTGCCACACACCAGTGCGTAATCTCCAGTAACCCCTCCTAGGCTCGTCCCCAGCTCCTGTTTTTATACATGCTGTGGACCAACATTTTTATTTAGTGATTAATTTAAAACAGCTTAGGGTCTGCTACACACACATCTCAATTTGTCTAACATTCAGCTGGAAATTCTTGCATTTTATAAACTGTGAGGATAACAAGCTTAATTATATAAGTCAGTTGGAGATAGCAACACAGTAAATATGTAATGAAAATTTAGGAATTTACTGTCAGCTAGATACTGTTATAAGAGCTTTTTATTAAGTCAAAGGGAATTTCACATGTAGGTACTCTTCCCTCCTGTTACAGATGTGAAAACTGAAGCAGAGGGTAGGCTTTCACCCCAGTGGGTTAAGCCCAATTCACACATCAGAGAACCTAAGGTGGATCCACTTTCTTGCTAATGTGTTCCTAGGAAGCATCAGATGAGGGTTCAATTACAAAGGCCCCTGCCACCCACATGGAAAACCTGTATGGAGTTCCTGGCTCCTGATTTTAACCTACTGAGCCCCAACTCCTTTCAGGCACGTTAGGAGTGACTAGCAGATGGAAGACCTCTCTTACTCTCTCCGTTACGCTATGGCATAGTAGTCTAAGCTTCCACCTGTGGAGCCTGAATTTCATATGGGCTCTTCCACATCCAGCTTGCTCCACTTCTTGACCAGCTCCCTGATTGTGGTCTGGGAAAACAGTAGAGGATAGCCCAAGTGTGTGAGCACCTGTACTCATGTGGAGAACTAAAAGAAACTCTTAGTTCTTTGGTTCAGATCAGCTCAGCTCCAGCCACTGCAGCCATTTAAGGAGTGGACCTAATGTGAGCCAGCAGATGGAAGATCTTTCTCTATCTTCATAACTCTATCTTCTATATAAAAACAAATCTTTTATACAACACTTTAGATATCACGAAATATGCCCTCAGTGAACAAAGGAAAAAAGGATCATTAGGACAATTTATGCTATATTAGACTGGGACCCTAGTGCACTAGAATAAAAAATCCAGAAATTTCAAATGCATTCCCTTCACAATTGGCAGGTAAATAATATTACACAGTAATATTAAACACAACAAATCAGTCAGCATTTTTTAAAAAAAAATGTATATTTTTTTGAAAGGAACAATTAAAGAGAGAGGCATAGAAAGATCCTCCATCTACTGGTTCACTCTCCAACTGGCCACGACCACCAAGGCCATGGCAAACTAAAGCCAGGAGCCTCTTCCAGGTCTCCCACATGGGTGGAGGGGCCCCAGCACCTGAGCCATCACCCTACTGCTTTCCCAGACAACCAATAGAGAGTTGGACTGGAAGTAGAGCAGCCAGGTCTTGAACCAGTGCTCACATTGTATCCCAAGCGACACAGGCAGCAGCTTGTGCCCTCCACCAAAATGCTGGTCCTTCATCTGCATTTTCTTTTCCTTTTTCTTTTTTTTTTAAGATCTATTTATTTGTATTGAAAAGGCAGATATACAGAGAGAAGGAGAAACAGAGAGGAAGCTCTTCCATCTGATGATTCACTCCCCAAGTGGCCGCGACGGCTGGAGCTGAGGAACCAGGAGCTCTTCCGGATCTCCCACACAGGTACAGGCTCCCAAGGCTTTGGGCCGTCCTCAACTGCTTTCCCAGGCCACAGGCAAGGAGCTGGATGGGAAACAGGGCTACCGGGATTAGAACTGGCGCCCATTTGGGATCCTGGTGCATGCAAGGCAAGAACTTTAACCACTATGCTATCGCGCCAGGCCCTGTATTTTCTTAACTTGAAGAACTCAGGACAAATACCAACTTTATTAACCTCACTAAGCACTCCTGAAGATCAAAGAAGATTATGTAAACTATGGAAACATTCCAAAATTGATAAAGCACACGTGCAGAGATGGCTCTCATGTAGGCAGCTACCACCAGACTGGGATGTGCTGAGCCACACATGTCATGCCCTGCACTGCCCAGATCAGTGAACAGAAGTCAAAATGGCCAGAGGTGACCCCGAGAAGCCAAAGGGCAAGCTGTCTGCTTGTGCCTGCTTGTGCCTTCTCTGTGCAGACATGCAAACATGCAGTAAAAAGCTCAGACATAAGTCTGTCAACTTTGCAGCATTTTCCAAAAAGTGTTCCAAGAGGTGTATGACAATGTCTGGGAAAAAGAGGTTTAAAATAAATGAAATGACAAAGCCATAGGAATCACACTGTGATCAAGTAATGAAGGATTATGGACCAGTTAAGGAAAGCAAGAAAAAACAGTGATCCTACTACAGTAAAAGACAACCATCTGGATTCTTCATATTTTTTCTGTTCAGAATCCTGTGCCAAGATCAATTCTATAAATCCTAGCATCGCCATTGGAGATACGGACAAAAAGTTGGGGGCATCTACTTGCAAAAAAGTAAATTCGTCTTTGAGACCAGCATTATAAAATGACAGTTAAGCTGCCACCTGCAGTACTGGCATCCAATATGGGCACAGGTTTGAGTCCAGGCTGCTTCACTTCCTATCTAGCTTCCTGCTAAAATGCCTGGGAAGACAGTGGGAGATGGCCCCTGCACCTATTTGGGAGACTCCAATGAAGCTCCTGGCTTCTGTGTGTCCTAGCTGTTATTATCCAGAGAGTGAACAAGCAGATAGAACATGCTGAAAATCACAATTAGAAAGACAGGAAGAGGCA